AAAGTTAGTTTACGATTCATGATTAAAAACACCAATAATAGAAGTTAATAATACAAGCACTACACTCACCAACTTAACTTCACTGTCACTAGTGACATACTAACAAAACAAACATTCATCGATAAGATAAAGAATAAACAAAGACAAAATCAACCCCACGACTAGACGTCAGATTAGATAAGGAATAACACTGAGATAATAATAGCGCGAGAGATAAACAGTGACGCTCACCGGCCTGCAGCGGTATACTGACTTTTGCCGCACCCGGTATATATGTGACCGTCCATTAGTACGATAACTCGAGCAAAAATTATCCGATTTTGATTCAATTTTGTACAAACGTATAAACCTACATTTATTTGAACGAGTTTGTGAACCAGCATGATTGGACTATGGGAACGGGGGTTTATGGGGGGTTTTATGGGGGTAAAAATAAGTTGTTCCCATTTTTGACCCTAAAAACACAAATTTTTACAATTTCTTTCCAAACCATTTTGTAGAGCTTAAAAAAACAAATAATTTAGTATATTGAACCATTATTATGCGCCTAATGGTTACAAAGAAAATTCCTAAAAATTGTAAATTTAAAATTCCCATATTATTCTTATGGAGAATAAGTCATATGTTGTAGTTTGCGTATTTATGAACATATTTTGATCAAATTTAGAAAAATACATTCATTTCTTACTAAACTACAGTATTAACATTTTACAACAAAAAACACTTTTGTACCCTCCCTGTTGCAGCAAACCTAAGTACTCGTTAAACTAATTTTATTTAAATAGGGTATAATGTGATATTTTTAAGGAGACATTTTAGTGTAGATCCAATATGGGAATTTGCTAAGTCTGCAGGTTTGCTGCGGCGGGGGTATTTAGTTATATAGCCCAAGTACCACTTGGACGATCTAATGATATTCCCGCACTTGCACTTTATCTCCAACTTTGAAATTCCTTTTTATACCAACTTGGAGTCCCTTTTTCTGATATTTGTTCGGTTCTATTGGAACAATTATTCCGAGGTTTGTTTCTACACAACTTCCAAACATTAGGTGATATGCTGATGTATCAGTTGAATTCGGGGACTGCCTGAGTTGCATTAGAAGTCTTTGGATTTTATTTTGCAGTGAACCCTTTTCTCCCTCCATGGATTTTAACGCCTTCTTGACAGTCTGCGCGTATCTTTCAGCCAGGCCGTTTGAGTTTGGGTGGTATTGTGCAGTTGTTCTGTGAATAATCCCACATTCATTCATGAAGTTTTTGAACTCTGCTGAAACAAACTGTCTTCTATTATCTGAAACTAAGATGTGAGTTAACCCAAAAGTTTAAAAGATTTTCTGTAATTCTTGGACTGTCCATGTACTTGTAGTTGATCATGTCTGTATCACCTCCATCCACTTACTAAAAGCATCCACTAATATCAGGTACTGTTGGCCATCTGTTGGTCCTAAGAAATCAAGGTGCACCCTCTCCTATGGATTAGAAGGTTGTTCCCATGGATGGATAGTTTCTTCTCGGGTTGTTGCATTTTTTAATGCATTGTCGACATTCAGCTACCAACCCTTTAGTCAATCACAATCATCTTAAATGGACAGCTCGTTATTGTTAAATCCATATTGCTCGACAAATTGTCCTGATTTTAAGACCTGTAGGACTGGACCCAACACAGAATCGTTGAGAGTTTCCTTAGCCACCACGGTACTGTTGATATTGAGTGTTTCCAATTGGTTTATGTGGTATTTAGAGAGATCATCTATACAGAATGTTCTTGTACAACTTCGATAGGGAAACGTGTGAGATAATCTGCATTGCAAATGATGAGCGGTTTGCCTGTACTCTATGTCATAGTCGAACCCGGAGAGAAAGTGAGCATAGTTGAATATCCGTGTTGCCGAGATTGTTGGTAAGGCCTTTGCTGGATTAAAATTGATACTTGTGGTTTGTGATCCGTAATCAAAGTAAATTTGGGCCATAATAAAATGGGAAAAACTTTTTTAGGCTCCCGTATAATCCCAGGGCTTCCTTATCGAGTTGAGAGTATTTTTGTTCTGATTTTGTCAAAGATTGGGAGGCCAAGGCAATTGGTCTGTCTGTTCAATCCCTATAGCAGTGGGACAGAACGGCTACCACGCCTACCGGCGAAGCATCAGAAGCTAAGACCAGAGGCAAGCTAGGATCAAAGTAAACCAAAACGTCGTCACTTGTGATAATTTCCTTATAATCTTCTGAAAACTCTTTTCACAAGATGAATTTCAATTGAAAGTGTTTCCTTTTCGTAGCAGGAGGTTCAACGGATGTATTAGTGTTCCCAGATTCTTTATTAATTTGTCGTAATAATTTGCTAGGCCTAGGAAAGTTTGGAGTTCAGACACGTTTTCTGGCCTTTTACATTTCAGAATGCTCTGTATCTTAGTATCTGACTTGTGTAGGCCTTTGCTATCGATCACATGACCTAAATACTCAATTTTGGTTTGGAAAAACTTGCATTTGTCTCTATTTAGCCTCAAATCATTTATTTTCAGTCGTTCGAACACCTGTTCCAGTCGTTGAAGAAGCAGTTTCCGGTTAGATCCTTGGATAATTGCGTCGTCGAAGTAACATTGTACACCTTCTATGTTATGTAATGTTTTGTCCATGAATCTCTGCTATAAAAAACGTGCCACTTTTCTCCAAACATTAATCTGTTCACCTTAAACAGTCCTTTCTGAGTACTGATTGTTTGCATTATGGCACTGTCTTCGTCCATCTCCAGGTACAAGTATGCATTACTGATCATGTCATTAGATTAATTATTAAATAATTGTACTGAACTCAAGAAAGGTTGTTTATTTCTAATTTAACAAAAACTCAATCAAAATATAAAAACAATAACACAAAACATATGTAGAAAAATTACCATATGTTATAAACATATTAACTACTATCAAGAGTACAAAATATCTTTACGCCACACTACACTATTTTGACGAACTTCCCATGCAAGGATTTAGTTCAGAAAACAGCTGTTTGCAGCCGGCTTAATCAAATGGGGTTTCATTTGGTACTACTGTATTGTAATGAGTTTTACCGGACACCAACCAGCTGATTATACTGTATTTGAGTGGCAATGAGTGGTTATAACAAAAACATAACCACTCTTAAGAGGTTATGACTAGTGATTTTTAGTCCTTTAGTTGGTGGTAATATATAAGGATTTGAACGGATTTAGTAGTATGGCGTAAACTATCGTACGTCACTCGTCCAAAATGTGTTTACCGGACTCGTATGGTAATCCCGTACTCGACTTCGTCTCGCACGGGAACGACCACACTCGACCGGTAAACACTTATTTTCAGGACTATTAATGTAATATACTATTTCACAATGCATCTGTGACGTGATGTGATCGATCCGAGGTATAGGGTAGTGTTCGTCTTTGACTTTGTTCAAAGATTGTTTTACTTCTTTGTTCGGTTTCATTAAGCATCTTGCTAAGTGACCAAAACGTTTACAAAAGTTGTATTCTGCATTTTTGAGCTGACATTGATGTGCTCTATGTGAATCATCACCACATCTATAGCATTTGTTCCTCAGTTCCTCAAAACGAGATTGATACTCAGAGAGTTGTGTATTGTTAGATTTACTTGACTTATTTTCCTGCTGTTACTTGGTGTACTTCCTTTTTAATTTTCATTTATCTTTACTATTCTGCTCTCACTTTTCGCTAGTTCCAATGTAGCTGCCTTTTCGATTACTTCTTTAAATGGTTGCAATAGTTTATCTTCTTCAAGTTGAAGACGTACATCAGAGTCTTTTAGTCCCCTGAGAAACTGCATGCGAAGTAGAATTTCAGATACCGATTCATTACAATTTGTAGAAGTAAACTGGCATTCGACACTGAGCTTTTCAAGAGCATTTGCGTAAGCTTGTACAGATTCATTACATAGTTGAGTACGTGTTGTAAATTTATGATGACAAGCCCAAATACCGGGTTTTGGTTCTAGTTGAGCCATCAACAGATGAATCAATTCCTCATATGACTTGTTATATGGATCATCTGGTATGCAAAGATCGTAGAGCTGTTCATGTATTTGTGGGGTGATTGCTTGTAAAAATAAATCTACTTTGACCTTTGGACTTAAGTTTCCCTGTAGTTTTGTGTATTTTTCAAAGCGCCGAGTGAAATTTTGAAAACTGTCCTCTTGTGTATGTGGCTGGAGAGGAATATTAGATACATTTTGAGATATTGTAGAAGCAGCCATTGCAGTTTGTGTTTATTCTTTTCTGCTTCAAAGGAATGTTTGTATCTCTCCATATAGTTCTTCTAACTGCCATCGAATTTCTAATTCACTTTCTACTGAATTTGTGTGAAGTTCAATATTTTATTGTGTTGTTTCAATTTCGTTCCATATTGGTGAAAGTTTATCTGTGTAGTAAGTGCATTTATATTGAGAATATTCACATGTAGGTAAATGATCCTTGAGTTCGCTCAATTGTAGTTCTAGTAATTTACTTTTCTTTGAATACAAGTCAAATTCTTTTCTACTTACCATTTTACTCGTCGCCATTGTTGATTCCACTAATTTTTCTAATAAAAGTTCACATTTTGTATAAGAAAATAGAAAGTAGGTTTTTATTAAATCACAATCTGTAAGTAAACATAAACAATTCAACAGGTAAACAAAACAATAAAATTTGAACACATGTTAGGAATAAAATGTAAATAAAGCATATGTTAACAGTGAGTTTATGTCATTTATTTCATATTCAAAATTATTTCAAACATTTTCCATCACAATTAGTAAAAAACTAAGTTTTCACTTAAGGTACTTGTTTTTCACTAATCGTGATGGAAAACGCCTGCAGTAATTTCTTAATAACAAGTAAGTTTTATTGTTCCACCATGCTATTAAAATAATTTATCATGGTATTAAAATAGACAAATAAGAGCATTCTGAAGGCATTTGATCAAGCTATTTCTATATATTACCACTTAATCGATTGTCTGACTATACTAAGGACCTTCTTAACCACAGTAATGCATCAGTGGCTAGTATTCCTCCAGCAGACTTCTCAGTGAGAATTAAATCGTTGAGATTACTATGACGCTCTAGGTCTGTGTTGTACACCTGGTTGATCTTCTGAAAATAAAACATTGAATTCAGTAAGGCCTCGGCAATTACAACGTGGTGGCTATAAAAAGGAGGCCTAATGATGTGTCATGTGACTCTAATGTCATCTCTTTAGTTTTGAACATGGTGCTGAATAAAAATCTGTGAAAAATGTTTATCCATATATAAAACCCAAAGTACCCATGCACTTTTGAGAAAACTACAAGTCACACCCCCATAAACCATATAGCTACTTAAAATGTTCGTCATGACGAGAAACCTTGCGCAAAACTATCCATTATTTCATAAATTACCCATTAAGGTCGTAATTGCTTTCCAAAGGGAACTTTCCATATACTTAATGTTAAAAATACCTCAGCTGTACTTTATTTGTATGTTATTCTTTCAATTTACTACCTTATTAAAATCAGGTGTGATTATTTGTTTGTGTATTACTGTATTCTGTTTTGTTTATTTTTCAGCTTAACTTAACCAATCAATAGTTTTATTAATACTTATGAAGTCAAACATGATGAAGCCCGTGGGTAACAGCTAGTCTAGTATAATGATTACGTGCCGGGTGCGACCGTGCCAGATGCGATCCAGCAAATATCGTGCCAGTAGCAACCCTGCTAGTAGCTTGAATGCCCCTAGCGACCCATTGTTTCATAGAGGATTTTCACAATATTTTGCTCAAACCGATATTAATATATTACTAGCTTATAAACAACCCCTATACACATTTCGGTAATATGTACCACCTGCCAGCTACCCTATATCGGCCTAAGGAGTTATTCATTATATATCTAGTTTCCAGCTGCTACCACAAGAAGTTTGGGGGGTTGGACTAAAAGCAATTTATTTATTTATTTATTTATTTTCCAATAATCACATAACATCATATTCAGACAGGTGATTCGTCATTGTTACAATATTTTATAGTCTCTATTATACTAAAATTATTACTAAAATAAATTTCATTGCTGAGCCTTAACATCTACATAGCTTCCATATATTCCTCCAATGAGAAGAAGGCCTTCTCCAAAAGAAAGTTTTTTAACTTCTTTTTGAATTTAGGGAATGAATCAGTGTCCCTAATTGAAGAAGGTAATTTGTTATATATTTTTGGGCCCATGTACTGAGGAGATAAATGGAATACTTTAAGTCTGTGTTGAACTGGTTTTATTTTGTTTTTAAATCTAGTGTTGTGAGGATGGGCATGTTGATCTTCCATGAATGTGTCAAAATCTTTTTTAACCATTAAAGCTAGTTTAAAGATATAAGAACTATACAAAGTAAGAATTTTAAACTGAATGAAAAACTCTTTACTGTGAGTAATTCGAGACACTTTCGCTAAGACTCTAACTGCTCTTTTTTGGAGGATAAAAATTTGTTCGGCATGACTAGAAGAACCCCATACCGTTAAACCGTAATTCATAATGGAGGAAAAATAAGCGTGGTATACTGCTAATTGTGTGTCTAAATTTGTAGTATGTCGAATTACCCGAAGAACAAGTATAGCTGATCTGAGTCTCTTTGATAGATTCTTAATGTTTGTTTGCCAATTAAGTTGCCAATCTATATCAATTCCAAGGTAATTAACTGAGTTTTGAGAATATATTGATGTTTGGTTTGAATTTACAACAATGTCTCTATTCTCATTAGCAACTGAAAAGTGAATTAGTTGTGTCTTTGACACATTCATAGATAGACCATTTACTGTGAACCAGTCCCCGAGGAGTTGAAACTCATTAGTAATTAAGTCTTGCTTAAAATCCAATGTTTTTTGTTCGGTGCAGATTAAAGCAGTATCATCTGCATATTGAAAAGTATGCATTTTTGTAACATTACATAAATCATTTACATAAATTAAAAATAAACAAGGTCCAAGAATGGAACCTTGAGGAACTCCGTAGGGTGTGTAACCCCACTCTGACTTATATTTGGTTTGGCATTTCTGTAATATAATTCTTTGTTTACGGCTTTTTAAATATGAAATGAACCATTTTAATTCCACATTTTTTATTCCATGTCTACTTAATTTTTCTAGCAATATATCATGATCAACACAGTCAAAAGCCTTGGACAGGTCACACAGCACACCTATTGTGCGCTGCGACCCGTCCAAGGCCTCTGCAATGCAGTTAATCATCCTGGTAATAGCCTTTTCAGTACTGGATTTTGAGCGGAAACCAAACTGAGATGGATTTAGTAAATTATTTTGTTCCAAATAATCTGTAAGTTGAGTTTTCACAATTTTTTCAAAAACTTTGGAAAAACAGGGCAAAAGAGCAACTGGTCGGTAGTCAGAAGGATTGTTAACATCACCCTTTTTAAAAAGAGGTTTTATCTCTGCATATTTAAGTTTTTCAGGGAAAATTCCTTCCTCAAGGGACTGATTCACTAGTGTGCAGAGAGGTTGTTCAATAAGTTTAAAAACTCTACTAATAACAAAGAGGGGAATTTCGTCCCAACCTGAAGATTTAGTATTGCTAAGACTGGTAAAAACTTTTCTTAGATCCTGAACTGAAATTTTCCTAAATTTAAATTGTAAAGCAGAATTTTGAAGTCTAATTAAATGTTGACTATTGTTTAGTAGCTGAATGGATTTATCTTTATCTGTCATTTGGTTAGCAATTTGTGAAACATTTATAAAAAAATTGTTAAATTTATTTGCTATTGCCAATGCACTACCATATTGGTCGTTTCCATCATTCAATTGGATCTCAACCGGTGTGTCAGAGTTTTTTCTATTTAATCCAATTTCTTGTTTTACGACTGACCAAGATGCTTTACTTTTATTTTTGGACCTTTTAATAAAATCATCATTTGCCTTTAATTTAGCTAATGCAACGACTTTTTTGAAAGTTTTCCTGTAATTGTTGTAGTAAGTTAAAAATTGTGGGTTTCTATTCCATTTAGATTCCTGGTGCAATTTTCTTTTATTTTCTGCTGAAATTTTGATTCCTAAAGTAATCCAATTTTTCCTTTTTTGTGTTTTATTTGATCTTGTATTAACTGTTTTTGGAAAAACCTCATTAAATAAATTTAGAAATGTATTAAGAAAGTTGTTGTAGTTTGTATTTACATTTGGTGTGTTAATATCATAATGTGCATTCTTTAAAGCCATTTCGAAAGTTTTTAAATTTTGTTCTGTAAATTTACGAGTTAGTTCTTTGTTTTTACATCTAAGTATTGGAGAAGACCTTTTCTCAAATGACAATATCAATACTTTATGGTCTGATGCACCGATGTCTACAACTAAGCTACTAGTATTCTTAGCTCCGAGGTTAGAAAATATATTGTCAATGCAAGTACTAGAATTTTTAGTTACTCTTGTAGGTATAAATACATTTGGTACAAATCCAAAACAATCACAGATTTCAAAAACTTTACAGGTACTAGCTTTGTCAGATAACAGATTAATATTTAAGTCAGAAGATATAAAAACATTTTTAGATTTTGCCTCCAATGCCAATTTGTCGAGTAATAACTCAAATTTTTCTAAAAATATTTTATCAAAATTATCTCCAGGAATTCTATATATTGATACAAAGACCGAATTCCACTCCTTAACTTCTATAAATGACCCTTCAAAACAATATGGTTCATTCAGAAATTTCAAGTCATTTCTAATTTTGAAACTTAAATTTTTATCTATCATTAAACATGAGCCTCCTCTAGATTGATCAACTCTAGCATAAAAATCAGCAATTTTAAAATCATCTAAACTGTTTAATAAATTTATACATGTTGAATTTAGCCAATGTTCATTTAAAGAAATTACCTGAACCTTTCTTTGTTGACTTTCCAGGAAGAAAACTAAATCTAAATAATTATTTAAGAAGCCCTGGATATTAAAATGTAACAAAACAAAACTGTCATCAAGATTCTTTCCTAACTCATATTTTTTCTTGGACTCCTCAACCTGAACTACTTCTCTAAAAAACATTCTGTATTATTCCTAAGACTACTATTTACAATTTCACTCTCAAATACCATGGAATTAATATGTACAGGGGACTCATCTTCATCTTCACTCTCTATATCTACACTCACTTCACCAGACTGACTTTTTGCACTGCACAATACACTTTCTAGTGGTTTGTTGGGCTGCATCGATGCTTCAGGCTGCATCATCGTTTTCGCTGCTGCAACATTCAAGACGTTAGCTGCATTGTGTTCCTCCGTTGGTCTTTGACATTCTTCAAGTTGATTTGAGATTTCATTATGTAATGCTGTGACAAACGCTTCATGTGACCGCCCCCTCCAAAGAGTTCTTTGTGCTTTTTGGTCATAAGAAACTATGCAGACCTCAGCACCAGTAGCAAAATGAAATCTTACTAGGTTTTTAATGAAGTGACGAGGCTCAATCATATCCCTAACGCAACCCATTGCGGAGCAAAATAACTTTTTTAAACCTTTTCTTTTGAAATCTAGTTTCAGGTCACTGAAGGCAGCATCATAGTCCTGATTTCTTGGTTTTCCACAGTAGGAGTCTTTAGTTACCAAACTGTACACTAACGGGCCATTTTCCACCTTCTGGAGAGCTAGATTTTTTGTGACACAGTCAGAGATCTGAGGTCTGCCGAATCGTTCCCTGAAAGCCACTGCCACTCCCGCTGACATGTGTCGGGGGTTGTTAAAATCAGCAGAAATTGTATGAGCCAGTGCTACAGAGGTGTCATTTTGTATTTGATCAAACACAAGTCTCATATCTTTCTGAAGAACTGAGATTTTAGCATTTGGTGGTTTAGCATTTGGGTTGACTGTCTTTAATGAAGTTGAAGAAGAAGGCAGCAAAGGGAAGGCATTTGTGTCTTGTATATTGCCATTAAATTGCAATGTGGCTGGCTCAATACCAGGAGAGTCTGATGTACCTGGGCAGGTGAAGGACGGAACAAAGTTCACCTGTTTGGAGCATGAACTGCGCTCTCTATTGTGCCTAAGTATGGAACTGGTTAGGGCATTACTAAGTTTACGCTTCCCGTTGTAATTAAAGTGAAGTCCATGCTGAGTATGATCCCTTC